GAAGGAGCCTTGGTAGTGGAAGGAGCCTTGGTGGTGGAAGGAGCCTTGGTCGTGGAAGGGGCCTTAGTCGTGCAAGGAGCCTTCGTGGTGATGACAGGAGCCTTAGCGGTGGTGCATGGAGCTTTCGTGGTACAAGGAGCCTTCGTGGTGATGATTGGAGCCTTCGTGGTACAAGGAGTCTTCGTGGTGATGACAGGAGCCTTCGTGGTGATGACAGGAGCCTTGGTGGTAATGATAGGTGCCTTGGCAGTGGTGCATGGAGCCTTGGTGGTGCAAGGAGCCTTGGAGGTGATGACAGGAGCCTTCGTGGTAATGACAGGAGCCTTAGTGGTACAAGGAGTCTTCGTGGTGATGACAGGAGCCTTCGTTGTGATGACAGGAGCCTTGGTGGTAATGACAGGTGCCTTGGCAGTGGTGCATGGAGCCTTGGTGGTGCAAGGAGCCTTGGAGGTGATGACAGGGGCCTTAGCGGTGGTGCATGGAGCCTTGGTGGTGATGATTGGAGCCTTGGCGGTGGTGCAAGGAGCCTTGGAGGTGATGACAGGAGCCTTCGTGGTAATGACAGGAGCCTTAGTGGTACAAGGAGTCTTCGTAGTGATGACAGGAGCCTTCGTGGTGATGACAGGAGCCTTGGTGGTAATGACAGGTGCCTTGGCAGTGGTGCATGGAGCCTTGGTGGTGCAAGGAGCCTTGGAGGTGATGACAGGGGCCTTAGCGGTGGTGCATGGAGCCTTGGTGGTGATGATTGGAGCCTTGGCGGTGGTGCAAGGAGCCTTGGAGGTGATGACAGGAGCCTTGGCGGTGGTGCAAGGAGCCTTGGCCGTGGTGCAAGGAGCCTTGGTCGTGCACGGGCCTGGGGCGCTTGCGCTTTCAGCTGGACTGGTGAAAAGCACGAGGCTAATCAGTACGGTGGTCGAGATGATCGAGCGAATTGTAACCATGGGTAGGTTTGGTTGTCTACTGCCGAGGCAATTTGAGAATGATGAAAAGCGATCGTCACACTCATCAAATAGCTCAATCAAATCATCATCCGCTGTAACTTTACTACCTATATTTACAGACCACCTATAATACAGACTTCGAATTGCTCCTTTACCTAGTGTCTCCACCGTATGGAATGCTATAGACCCTCTACTTGTGAGTTTGTTCTTCAAGGCAATGCGTGTACTACAATCTTTAACAAATTCATCAAGTTGTGTCACTATCACCCCCTTATGACATTCCAGTTGGCGCTTACGCTGCACACCAGCAGAATCGTGGCATCAATTGGCTCGATCAAGGTTGTTAGGTGCGCATTATTTTCGAGCAAACAATGGATTATTTTCGAGCACGGCTTTAGAGCATTTCGAGCAACTTCGACCCAGGTCCACCT